AAAAAAAAAAGGGGGGGCATGGTGGCTCATGCCTATAATCTCAGTCTTTTGGGAGGCCAAGGTGAGAGGATCACTTGAGCCCAGGAGTTCAAGACTAGCCTGGGCAACATAGCGAGACCCCGTCTGTACAAAAAATTAAAAAATTAGCTGGGTATGGTGGCATACACCTGTAGTTCCAGCTGCTCAGAAGGCTGAGGTGGAAGGATGGCTTGAACCCAGGAGGTGGTAACTGCGGTGAGCTGTGATCATACCACTGCAGCCCAGCCTGGGCAACAGAGCAAGACCCTGTCTCAAAGAAAGAGTAAAAAAAAAGTCGTATACATAATTAACAAGAAAATTTATGATCTCACATAGTAGGGAGTTCTGGGGTGGTTAATTTAACTGCTCAGTAACATCACCCCTGGCCCAGCTTCTCGTTGTTCCCTTAGCTTTCCCCAAGCGCCTGCTGATCATTGTGCTGCCAGGAGAGTGTTGAGAGTTCGAAATCTCCGTGTAACTGATGGAGTCTAGAGGCAGAACGTTCCTAGTCTTAGGTCTCTTAAAAAGCCAAGAAGGTCTTTCCAGCAGCCCTCTACCTGAAGCAGATATGCCTTCATTTCTCAGTGTGGAATGCATCACATGCTCACGGCTGAACCAAACACTTGACAGAGAGAATGCGATTCTCTTGACTTGCTCAGATTCTGCATGCAAAGAAGAGGGGGGGCTGGTAGGCTCTGTGTGGGTAGGTAGCCAACAGTGCCTGAATATAGATTGCATGTTTTTTGCATTTGATAGGGACCGGGTAAGCTACTTTCAGTGTCTTCATAAAGTTCTCTTACAGATTTTTAGCTTTCAAATTTTATGTTGATATTTTGAATTTAATAGTAAAATCTGTCAGCAACATTTAAGACATACATTAAAGTGTTTCAGACAACTAGAAAATAGAATTCTATACTTCCTGTAACCTTCATAAGACTACCATCTATTATGCATATTGCTCAGTTAGAACAGATCTTTCTAAACTAATAAACTTGGTAGTCTTAGTCCCAGGTTTACCCAAAGAATATAATTTTATAGAGAAAGTTATGCTGTTGAGTTTATTCCTGTATACGTTTATAAAGTCCGTTTGTAGAGAATTAAGAGAACTACTGTCTCTTCTGATATAGCCGTAGTAAAATTTTACTTAGGCGTTGATGTGTATTCAGAGTATTGTCGTATTTTGCCAAAAGAAAGTGGTAGCAAAACAACATTAATGTTATTTTGAAAGGTAACCGATTTGGAAATACTTGATTTGCTATTAATAGAGCCAGGATTTTTACGCTTCTTTACCTCATTAGAAACTTTCTCTATTGGTGTTGCACGCCTATAGTGTCAACTACTCAGGAGGCTGAGGCAGAAAGATCGCTTAAGCCCAAGAGTTCAAGCCGTAGCGCATTATGATTGTGCCTGTAAATAGCCACTGCATTCCAGCCTGGGCAACATAGCAAGAGCCTGTCTTTTTATTTTTATTTATTTATTTTTTTTGAGACAGATTCTTGCTGTGTCACCCTGGCTGGAGTATGGAGTGCCGTGGTGCAATATCACTCACTGCAACCTCTGCCTCCCAGGTTCAAGCGATATTCTCCTGCCTCAGCCTCCCAAGTAGCTGGGATTATAGGTGCCTGCCACAACACCCGGCTAATTTTTGTATTTTTTAGTAGAGACAGGGTTTCACCATGTTGGCTAGGCTGGTCTCAAACTCCTGACCTCAAGTGATCCACCCGCCTCAGCCTCCCAAAGTGCTGGGATTACAGGCAGGAGCCACCATGCCTGGCCATGTTACCTATCTTGACTGTTGTTATTATTTTACTGTTATGAATAATTACATGGTGTAGTTGTTAAAAACAGTGCAACATTTGCCTTTAATACCATGTATACATTTGTCTTATGTATAACCTATTCCTGAAGTTTAAATGCACATCATTCAATGTTGAAAGTAAATGAGGCTGGGTGTCGTGGCTCAAACCTGTAATCCCAGCACTTTGGGAGGCTGAGGAGGGAGGATTGCTTAAGGCCTGGAGTTTAAGACCAGCCTCCCTGGACAAGATGAGACTCTGTCTCTACAAAAAACAAAAACAAAATTATTCATGTATGGTGGCATGCGCCTGTAGTCCTAGCTACTTGAGAGGCTGAGGTGGGAGGAGATCACCTGAGCCCAGGAGTCAAGACTGCAGGCTGCAGTGAGCTATGATTGTGCCACTGCACTCCAGCCTGGGCAACCAAGTGAGACCTTGTCTGTAAAATAAAATAAAATAAATTTTAGTATAGATTGTTAGAGGTTGAATGATTTAAATTGTACCTGCTTTTGTCTTTAATAGCCCAGAAGAAAAAATAAAGCAATTAGAGAAGGAAGTGAATGAGTTGGTAGAAGAAAGCTGTATTGCCAGTAGTTGTGGAGACTTAAAATTGGTAAGTTCATAAACAAGATTCAAGATAATGAAGCATTTATAGATGTATGTCTGCTTTTATATATACACCATATGTACAGACATATATTTTTGTTTGCCATTGACTGGTCTTAGGATAAGAAGCAATTATTTTGAGAACCAGGAATTGTAATTCGGTTTCATAAATTTGAACGTCAAAATAATTGGCTGATTTTGTAATTTTTGACATTGATCTTTTCAGTAGGGAAAAAAATTCTAATGTGTTGGTACGCTTAACTTGGCAGCCAGGTGGACTATTGGATTGGACGGCGATACGCTGCTGAAAGGTGCAGCTACTGGAAGCCACACACAGTGCCAAGGGCTGTTTTCTTCTTGAAGCCTCACTACTATCGAATATTTTTTCCTAAGTAAACTAAAAAATTATAGTTTGCTTTTTGGGAATCCAACTTTGCTTTTTAAATATCAATCTTTTCTTTTAATTTGCTTTGTTCATATTACTTTGTCATATCATATAATTTCCATGAGTTATTGGATTAATGAATACCATTAGAAAGAAATGTTCACTTTAAAAAGCTACTTTTATTACTCATAGAACTGGTGCTTTTTTTTTTTTGTCATTCTAAAAAAAAAAAAAAAAGTCCCTTTCCAAGGGAAGTTTCTGGTAAGAGCACAGAGGGGTGTCCTGAGGAATCTGAGGATAGAAAATGAATTCATCCAACCTTCATGTAGATATTTCTCAAATGCATAAAAGTTGATGAACACTAAAAGGAAGTTACAAGGTGTAAATCTGATTTCAGGCCTTAGAAAAGGCAAAAGATGCGGGAAGAAAAGAGAGAGTCCTGGTGAGACAGCGAGAACAAGTTACAACTCCAGAAAATATCAATTTGGATTTAACTTACTCAGTAAGTATTGAAATATAGCACAATTTTTAAATAAAATTTTGACTACGGTTAATGGGTTCCAGAGTCTTTTTTCTTTTATTTTTAAAATCTTACTGGTCTTCAGGTGCTCAGAATTAGATTAATAATAATCTTTACTTCATGAAACACTCTTTGTTGTGTGCAAAGAGCTCTTTTATTTATTTAACTAGTTATTTTGGGCTGGGTGCAGTGGCTCATGCCTGTAATCCTAACACTTTGAGAGGTGAAGGTGGGAGAATTACTTGAGCTTAGAAGTTTGCGACCAGCTTGGGCAACAGAGTGAGACCTTGTCTCTGCTTATTAAAAAATATGTATATATTTTGATAACTTAGTAAGTACCTGTAAACCTACCATCCAGTGGCTCTGTTTGAAGAGCACTAATTTTTATGCTCTATCAAGGTGATTATTTTGATGAGATTGTAATGTAGACTTTTTGGTCAGTGATTTTCAAGAACTTCAAACTAGGCATATAAGATAATGTTCTGTGAGGGTAGTGGGGAAAAAAAAATCTAATGCCTCTAATTTCTATCAACATTTATTTAATTCTGAAAAGACACCTCCTTAAATGTTTGCACTTCTGTTTGAAAGGGCGTATTTTCAGTGGGTAAAGTTTTCATATACTAAACACATAGAAAAAAAGGGCATTTGAAATTTTGAAATGTTAGATGCTTATTGTTTATAGCTAATACTCTAAGATTCCAGGAAATCTTTCAGAGATAATTGATGATGATCATTTTTTACCTTTAGGAACATAATTTACTGTAAGTTAATTACTTAAATTGTAACTTAGTATATAGAGCTTACTATACAAATTCTTCTGATAGACTTTAAAGTTTAAGATATTTCCACATGTTTAATTTATATTTACAAAGAGAATTTAATTTAGTTCACGATCTTGCTTATTTCTTTGATCACCAGCAGCATTAATGATACATATTTATTTTTTATAGGTCTTCCAGAGATTAATAGATGGCAGATACTACTAAATTAAATAGAATACATAGAAAATTAAGGTGAAATTTAGAGGACAGCTCTTCCTTTCTTAGTGTTCATTTGTAATGCAAGATAATTCTTTTGTTTACTTAATTTCATAATTGGCTGAGTATCTTGATATAAGTAGCTAACTTTGTTGTACAATTTTAATCTCTAGAAAGATTACAGGTGAAAGGGGCCTAAAGTGGTCCTTATGTGTCTTTTCTATAACATTTTCTTCCTTAGGTTCTTTTCAATTTGGCCAGTCAGTATTCAGTTAATGAAATGTATGCCGAAGCACTTAACACATATCAAGTTATAGTGAAAAATAAGATGTTTAACAATGCAGGTAGGTGTACATAATCAGTTTTTCCAGTAGATGTAATTATTTCATAGCATTAATTTATGTCTCCTCATTATATGCTTCCTTAAAATGAAATGATCTATGCTCTCAGCAAATCAGTATTTATGATAGGGGTATCTTGCTTAAACACGCTATTTGTATAAAAATCCTTACAGATGAAGAAATATAGTTAGCATGAGGTATATTGCCTAATATTAAACAAACAAATGTATCCTGTTATCACAAGTAGAATGAGCCATGGCATCCTCATAGAATGTGCTTTTCCTTATATAAATTTATCCCCAAGAGATTATAGTTTATATTTAGCATTTATATTGTGTAATTTTTTGGTACCAGTATTAATGTTTATCAGAATGTCATTTCCTTTAATATTATTAAAATGTATGTGGCATTCTTGAGTCTAACTTTTAAATGTCTTTAAGTTCCATATTTTCTTAGAAGAGTACACAATAATGTAAAGCACAATAATGTAAATCAGTTGTTTTCTAGCCATAGTTTCAGGAATCTATCTGTCTTAAGTTTCATTTCTTCACAGGATATAAGTTTGAAAGGTATAACTATTTTAAAGTTAGAATTTTAGATAATGTCTAAGACTTCATAACTGAGAAATGCTTCAGAGAATATGAATTAAAAGTCATCTAAAATATCAGAAAGAGTGGAAAAATGAGAATATTATACATTCATTAAATTTTTTTAAATTAGGAATATTGAAAATGAATATGGGAAATATCTATTTAAAGCAAAGAAATTATTCCAAAGCCATTAAATTCTACCGAATGGCATTAGACCAAGTTCCAAGTGTCAATAAGCAAATGAGGTAAGTTTATAACAGTAGATAATAATTGTAAAATGTAAGTGTTTTTCTAAAACAAGGTAACTCTTCTGACCTGTTTTCAGTGGGTTGAACATTTTGAAGTGTTTGTACGTGAGATTTCTATGTGTAGTATTTTGATCTATTCCCTTCTTACTACTTGTACACATTTTTATAATGGCAAGTTAAAGGTTAAAGCATTGCATGTGATCGTATGAAATAAAACTAAGCTAAGTGACCAATAAAGGGGTTAACCCTGAAGGCCATTACTACCCTGATATAACTTAATGTGGACACAAAATCATAATAGCAGTCCTCCAGAACGTATCAAACATATCAATACAAGGCTAGAAATTAAGCCCCCCTTACGTTCTTGCTGTAGCTTGAGAATGAAATAGTGAGAGAAAAGGAGTACTTCTCAGTCCTAGAAGAGGGGGAAGCTGGGATATTTTCTATTCTTACAATATTCAGGAGGAGAAACAGCAAGTTCTCTTATGGTCTAGAGATAACTCTGGGGACATAGGAAGTTTCCAGGATATTTACTGATCATAATTTCCCCTAGGCATGGTACAGTTTCTCTGTGAAAGTTAATTTATTTGCAATACCACATTTTACGATCATTTGTTTTTGAATTTTACATAATATCTCATTATCATTAGCAAATATTATCTAACTTACAGAACACCATGCCCTTTCAGTATTTTTAAGCCAGGTGAGACCAGGAATTCGAGCGTTTTAGAAAAAAAAAATAGTATCGAGTAACATATATTAAGTGCTTCATAATCAATAATCAAGACAATGGGTGCTATAATAATTCGGTGGAAGAAATCATTATTGAGAACAAGAATGGTCAAGAAAGGCTTTATGAAGGAGGCATACTTGGTATTGACTATTTAGGAGGAGAGAAGGGATAACATCTGAGAAAAAGGCCAGGAAGTAATAGTCTTTATGATCTGATCAGAGAATTATGAATAAACTAATTGAGTTGAAATAGAGGGATTATATTGAAGAGTGTTTAGAAATAAGGTGGGATCACATCCGTTAGAATGGCTCCAATCAAAGAAACAATAACAAGTTTTGGTGAATATTTAGAGAAATTAGAAACCTAATTAATTGGAGATGTCAAATGGTACAGCTACTTTGGAAAATAGGCAGCTAGCTAAAAAAGTTGAAAACAGATTTACCATGTGACCCACAATTCTGCTTTTAGGTATATACCCAAGAGAAATGAAAATATAGATTGTCACAAAGGCTTTTACACAAACATTCATAACAAAATTATTCATAATAGCCAAAAAGTAGAAACAAGACAAATGTCTACCGAGTAGGTAATGTATAAATAAAATACGGTATATATTCATACGATGAAATGCTGTTTGACAAAAAAGGGAATGAAGTATTGATACATACTACAAAATGGAAGAATCTCAAAAAATTATGCCAAGTAAAAGAAGCAAGACAAAATATCACAAATTGTATGACTCCATTTATATACAATGTCTAGAAGAGATAGAGAGACAGAAAATAGACTAATAGGCCGGGCACGGTGCCTCCTGCCTATAATCCCAGCACTTTGGGAAGCCGAGTTGGGCGAATCACCTGAGGTAGGGAGTTCCAGACCAGCCTGACCAATATGATGAAACCCTGTCTCTAGTAAAAATACAAAAATTAGCAGGATGTGGTGGCATGTGCCTGTAATCCCAGCTACTCAGGAGGCTGAGGCGGGAGAATTACTTGAACCCAGGATTCAGAGGTTTCAGTGAGCAGAGATCATGCCACTGCATTCCAGCCTGAGTGACACAGGGAGACCCTGTCTTAAAAAAAAAAAAGACTAATGGTTACCTAGGGCTGGGGATAAGAATGGGGAATAACTGTTAATGAGCACAGGTTTTATTTTTAGGGTAATGGAAACAAATTAAAATAGGGATGTGGTTATAGTTCCACAACTATATAAATACAGCAATAATTATTGAATCATATACTTAAAATGAGTGAATTTTATGGTATGTATATAAAGCTTTTATCAGTAACGCTTTAACAAAACAAAAAAGAAGTAAAGTGGGAGAGGAAAAAAGAAAACTCTTTGTGGAACGGCTTGAATGCCACACTAAAGAGTTAAGAATTTTAAAGCTAATCCATGTATTTTTCTTTTAGGATTAAAATAATGCAGAACATCGGAGTTACATTTATTCAGGCTGGTCAGTATTCAGATGCTATTAATTCATATGAGCACATAATGAGCATGGCACCAAATCTGAAGGCAGGCTACAACCTCACTATCTGTTATTTTGCGGTTGGAGACCGAGAAAAAATGAAGAAAGCATTCCAAAAGTTGATTGCTGTTCCATTAGAAATTGATGAAGATAAATATATTTCACCAAGTGTGAGTAGGAAAAAGACATTTCTGTAGCCACTTTCCAGTTATCTGTGCTTTTCTGTTTTCAGAATGAGAAAGCCAGAATAGATGACTTCTTGGGTTTCTCCCAGGCCTGTACCAATGTGTTTCATTATTGATGTATTTCATTTGTTATTTAAATTGAGTTGAGAATGAGACTCTATTGAAATGGGGTAGAGATTATGGTTAAAACAGACTGCACAATTTTAGTTAAAAAAATCATTAAAAAGGAAGATTCCATGTCATTCATTAAGCTGGAGTGCAGTGGTGTCATCTCAGTTCACTGCAATCTCTGCCTCCCAGGCTCCGGCAATTCTCATGCCTCGGCCTCCTGAGTAGCTGGGATTATAGGCATGTGCCACCATGCCTGGCTAAGTTTTTTATTTTTAGTAGGGAAGGGGTTTTGCCATGTTGTCCAGGCTGGTCTCGAACTCCTGGCTTCATGTGATCCACCTGCCTTCACTTCCCAAAGTGCTGGGATTACAGGTGTGAGTCCGGCCAAGAGTAATATCTTGACCAAGAAACCTCCAAATCCTTATTTCATCTATTAAGAGCCATTGTGGAGCAGAGGGAACCTCAACCGTGTACTAAATATATCAAGAGTGAAGGCCAGGCGTGGTGGCTCATGCCTGTAATCCCAGCACTTTGGGAGGCTGTGGCGGACAGATTGTGAGGTCAGTAGTTCGAGACCAGCCTGACCAACATGGCGAAGCCCTGTCTCTACTGAAAATATAAAAATTAGCTGGATGTGGTGGCAGGAGTCTGTAATCTCAGCTACTTGGGAGGCTGAGGCCGGAGAATTGCTTGAACTTGGGAGGTGGAGGTTGCAGTGAGCCGAGATGTGCCACTGCACTCCAGCCTGGGTGACAAAGCAAGACTCTGTCTTGAAAAAAAAAAAGTGAAATAAATTCCTTATCCTTAGTCATAGAGTGGAACATAATGCAACTATCAAAAGTCGTATTTTCAAACACCTAGGGAAATATTGTATAGTGTTAAGTGGGAACATACAGACATGCACACCTGTTTTCAAACACCTAGGGAAATATTGTATAGTGTTAAGTGGGAACATATAGACACGCACACCTATTTTCAAACACCTAGGGAAATATTGTATAGTGTTAAGTGGGAACATACAGACATGCACACCTATTTTCAAACACCTAGGGGAATACTGTATAGTGTTAAGTGGGAACATACAGACATGCACAACTATTTTCAAACACCTAGGGAAATATTGTATAGTGTTAAGTGGGAACATACAGATATGCACACCTATTTTCAAATACCTAGGGAAATACTGTATAGTGTTAAGTGGGAACATACAGACATGCACACTTACACATGACCATCAACTAGAAGCATCCAGACCAGTATAGGAACAGTAGCTTCTGAGCTATAAGATTGTAAAAGGTTTTAAAATGTTTTCCAGATTTTTACAAATAAAATATTGGCATACTATATATTAGTTTATATTAAGTAAAACCACATGAAATTGCCTCTATTTTTAGATAAAAATGATATATTTTCAATTTCACAGAGTTGAACTTTTAATAGATTTTCTTAATAGTTTATATTAGCTTGTGGGCATGGTAGCGGGTGCCTGTAATCCCAGTTACTTGGGAGGCTGAGGCAGGAGAATCACTAGAGCCTGGGAGGTGAAGGTTGCAGGAGCCAAGATTGCACCATTCACTCCAGCCTGGGTGACAAGAGCAAAACTCCATCTCAAAAAAAAAAAAAAAGATTATAAGGGTAGTGTAGCAAGTGGCTAAAGAGTATAGGTTCTGAAGCCAGATGCCTTGGCTCTACTACTCAGCTCTTACTCTCCCTGTGCCTCAGTTCTTTTATATATGTAATGGGACTAACTATTATAACCTATCTTATAGGGTTAGGGTGAGGATTATAGGTGAGGATTAAATGAGTAATGCATATGAAATGCTTAAAATAGTAGCTGGCGGCTGGGCACAGTGGCGCATACCTGTAATCCCAGCACTTTAGGAGGCCGAGGTGGGAGGATTGCTTGGGCCTGGGAGTTCAAGACCAGCCTGTGCAACATGTCGAAACTCTACAAAAAAATATGAAAATTAGCCGAGCTTGATGTTGCACTCCTGTAGTCCCAGCTACTTGGGAGGCTGAAGTGGGAGGATCACCTGAGCCTGAGGAGGTCAAGGCTGCAGTGAGCCATGATCACACCCCTGCACACTAGCTTGGGTGACAGAGTAAGACCTTGTCTCAAAAAAATAAAAAATTAGCCAGCCATGGTGGTGTGCACCTGTAGTCCCAGCTACTCTGGAGGCTGAGGTGGGAGGATCATCTAAGCCCAGGGAGGTCAAGGGTTGTGATCACAACACTGTCCTCCAGCCTGGATGACAGAATGAGACCTTGTCTCAAAAGTAAAATAACAAATAAAAAAATAAAAAATTAGCCAGGCATGGTGGTGCGTGTCTATAGTCCCACCTACTCGAGAAGCTGAGTGGGAAGAAGGCTTGAGCTAGGCTCAAGTTGAGGCTGCAGTGACCCATGATTGTGCCACAGTGTTCTAGTCCGGGCAACAGAGCAAGACTGTCTCAAAACAAAACTAACCAAACAAACCATGGAGCACGTGGAAGACAGTTAGATGCTGGGCAAATGTTAATTGTTATATATTGTTTTCATATTGAGAAAAAATGTATGTTGTAGAAATCATCTGTGTTTTTAATGGGGAGTAGAGATATGGATCATACTAAGCAATTGATGATTGAAGCATTTATATTTGGGTTTAGAATTAAAGTATTACATATTTGTACTAACAACCACAGCTTCTGTGTACTTGGTCCTAATCTTTCCATCCTGATCCTTTTATCAGCTTCTTAGACTCTAGGTGAGTTCAATGGGGAATGTGATTGGTAATCAGAAATATGAATACAGAAAGTTCTAATTTACATAAGGGAAAATAGAAGGATTAATTTACTCTCTATTTTTTAAAACTAATTAGTGGGGAGGCTTATTGGAAATTCAAGTTCTTGGCTGGACATGGTGGCTTATGCCTGTAATCCCAATACTTTGAAAGGCTGAGGTGAGCAGATCGCTTGAGCCCAGGAATTGAAGACCAGCCTGGGCAAAATGGTGAAACCCCATCTCTACAAAAAATGCAAAAGTTAGCCAGGCATCATGGCATGCCCCTGTAGTCCCAGCTACTTGGGAGGATCACCTGAGCCCAGGGAGGTGAAGACTGCATTGAGCCATAATCATGCCACTGCACTCCAGCCTGGGCAATAGAGTGAGGCTGTATCTCAAAACAAAACAAAACAAAAATTAAGTTCTTGCTGTTTACTTCTGAATTATTCTTTTTTTCTTTCATTTTATTTTACCAGGATGATCCTCATACTAACTTAGTAACTGAAGCTATAAAAAATGATCACCTCAGGCAAATGGAACGTGAAAGGTAGTATTTTAAACTTAATAATGTAGTTATTTGTTACATTATTTAATTAATGTTTAGTATTAAGATACTTAATATTTTAAACTTAAAATAATTTAGTTTTAATTTTTATAAAAGGGTTGAATGTGCATACTATTTCTTACAGAACTTGTTATATTCAATATATTTCTTGAATAGTGCTGTTATTTCATTTTTGTACTTACTGGTTCTCTTTTCTCATTCAGAATAATCAGTGCTCGTGCTAATCTCAATTACTCAATCTCAGTTATTCTGTCAGTTGTTTCCCTCTGCATTTGGTACATTATTGGAGATTTGTTTATCTTACCTTTATTTCAAAAATGAAATGACGTCTTTATTTTTTTTATCCTGCCACACAATTAAGTATTAGCTCTCATAGACAAAATTCTATTTATTTTGTTTCTTCCTTCCTCTAATATGGTACTACAACCTGTTTCTACTTATAACACTTCTGACACCAAATGTGTGGTTTTTCTCACACCAACAACCAATTATCCAATTCCTTGGACACCAAGGGCTTAGTCCCACAATACTGCTCCCTGTTCCTAACTATAGATGTCAGTTGTAAGCCTGGGCCTCCTGAACTCCTGACTGACCTGCTATGAATGGAGGGCTCCCACTACCCGCTCCTCAGGGTCAGTAGTTTTCTAGAAGAGCTCACGAAACTCAGGAAAATACTTTATTTATACTTACCACTTTATTACAAAGGATACAACTCAGAGACAATCAAATGGAAGAGGTGTATAGGGCAGAATGTGGGGGAAGTAGTGCAGAGCTTCTATGCACTCTCTGGGTGCACCACCCTTCCAGCACCTCCATGTGTTCATCAACCTGGAAACTCTCTGAACTGTGTCGTTTAGGGTTTTTATGGAGGTTTCGTGATGTAGGTAGGCATGACTGGTTTTCATCATTGGCCATTGGTGATTGAACTCAGTCTGCAGCCTTTCTCCCTTCCCTGGAGATTGGGGGGTGGAATTAAAAGTACAGTTGGGGTGGTGTCAGAAAAGGCGAAGTGGGGAGCTAAGACTTTCACCCCTAAAGGCTGTTCCATTCCTCTGATGTCAGTGGATGACCTGTGGGGAGCCTGGAATTCCATCCCTACCCAGCAGTACTGACGCACCCCCGAATCCTTTCTCCTTGGGTTGTGTCAGAGGAGGCTTAGTGGAGCGTCAGGGCTTTAACTGTCACCCAGTTGTAGCAAAGCCCTCCCATCATGATATTAGTAGGATGGACTATTTGGGAAGCAAGAACTCCCACCCTGCCCAACAGATACAAGGACCCCCTGCCTATTCTGGGTGTCAACGGAGGCCATGTGTCAGGGGCTGGATTTCCACCTTCACCTGGCAGTGGCAAGGTGGAGTGTCTCCTTCTTCTGCTGGAGATACACAGATGTCCAATACACACGTGAAAAGATGCTGAACTTCAGTAATTGGTAGGGAAATGCAGCTGAAAACGCAGTGAGATACTACTTCACACCTACTAGTATGCTGTAATAAAAAAGAAAGTAACAAGTATTGGCAAGAGTGTGGAGAAACTGGAACTCTTAAATGCTGATGGTGGGAGTATAAAATGGTGCTTTGTAAAACAGCCTAGAAGTGCCCCAAAAGGTTAAGCATAGACTTACCATATAACCCAGCAGTTTTACTTCTAGATATTTACCCGAAAGTAATTAGAGTATATGTCCACATGACAACTTGTATACAGATTTTCATGGTGGTATTATTCATAATATCAAAGATTAGAAATAATCCAAATGTGCAACAATTAATAAATGTGTAAATAATATATGATCTGTCCATAATATGGAATGTTATTCAGCCGTAGAAAGGAATGAAGTACTGATACAAGCTATTAGGTGGGTGCAAAAGTAATTGCGTTTTTTCCCACTGAATGCAATTACTTTGCACCAACCAATACAATGCAGATGAACCTTGAAAACATGATACATGAAAGAAGCCAGTCACAAAAAGACCACATGTTTTGTGATTCTGTTTATATGAAAGGTACAAATTAGGCAAATCTATAAAGACAGAAAGTAGATTAGTGGTTGCCAGGGGCTGGATAGGCACAGGGAAGTCTCTGCTAATGGACACTGTGTTTCTTTTTGGGATGATGAAAATGTTTCAAAAGCGATTGTGGTGCTTGTTGCACAAATCTGTGACTATACCTAAACCATTGCATTGTAGACTTTATTTTGGGTGAGCTGTATGGTATATGAGTTATATCCCTACAAAGCTGTTTTTTAAACATTCAGAAATATGTTTTTAAAATTACACGCCATGACCAAGTAGGATTAATTCCAAGGCTGCAAGTTTGCTTCATTATTTTTAAATCAACGTAATTCACCAACGTAATTCCTAACAAACTAAGGAAAAATCACGATTCAGTAATATTGAGAAAGCTCTCTCTTATTTCTTATGTTTTTATGATGAGTGAGTGTTGAATTTTGTCAAATGTTTTTTCTGTAACAGTTGACATATAACATGGATATTACTCAGCAACAAAAAGGAATGAACTATTGATACATGCAACAATTTGGATAGATTTGAAGGGAAGTATACTGTGCCAAAATAGCCAATTCCAGAAGATTATATATAATCTTATTCTTTATATATAACACTCAAAATCATAAAATTGTAGAACTGGAGATCAGATTAGTGGTTGTTAGGAGATGAAGAAGGGGTGGGAGTTGGAGGGAAACAAGGAATGGAAATATAGTGGAAATATTCTGTGTCTTGACTGTATCAACGGTAATCATGTTGTGATATTTGAAAGATGTTACTGTTGGAGGAAACTGGGTAAAGGGTACATGGAATCTCCATTATTTTTTACAAATGCATGTGAATCTACAGTTGTCTCAAAGTTCAAAAGAAAGAATAACAAGATGAATGTTTAATGACTTGGAAAGATTATTTTGTTTGTTTGTTTGTTGTTGTTTTTTTTTTTTTTTTT